CATTTATCAACCGATCCGCAACGACTTTCAGCCCAAACACGAAATCCGCCATCATATCGAAACTAAAGGCAATCCTGTCACCGCCAGACCACGACGTCTTGCTCCCGACAAACTCGCCATTGCCAAATCTGAATTTCAAGACATGATGAATTTAGGCATTATTCGTCCATCGAATAGCCCATGGTCATCCCCACTTCACATGGTTTCAAAGAAATCCACAGGGGATTGGCGACCATGCGGCGACTATCGCGCTCTAAATAACGCCACTGTTCCAGACAAATACCCAATTCCCCACGTCCATGACTTTTCCATGAGTCTATACGGGAAACGCCTTTTCTCTAAAATTGATCTAGTCCGCGCGTATTACCAGATTCCGATGGCCTCAGAAGACATACCTAAGACCGCAATCACGACGCCATTCGGTCTTTACGAGTTTCTCCGTATGCCGTTTCGGATGAATTGAATCAGGGCCAGAAGCTTTGGAAGGATTTAGTTCTTGAAATAGCCCGAAGAAGTGTGTCTCCGTCGTGCTGATTTCATTTAGGCAAGAATCCTCTAGGACTTTTTTGACCAGCACAACCTGAGATAGAGGCCTCATGAGAAATGATACCAGTATACTGTTCGCTTATACAAGCCTTATCATAGTCGATATACCCAAGGGTTCCGTCCGCTCGTAGTAAAGCCGGTATAGACGAGTTTGTACCGCTGCGTCTCTTTAGGTAAGCAAAGAACTTTGGATTTGTTACGGCTGCGTCAGCTAAATCCTCCTCGTACTGAAGTCGAAGAGTCCTAAGATGTTGCTTACATTTATTTCTAACTACTCGATAGCATTCGTAGGTGCTGGGTGATGAAGCCTCTTGGTAAGTTCGCCAGCACAGAGCGCTTCCTAAGCAGGTATTTACCTGTACGATCTATCCAAGGAGGCTGCGCCCTTGTCACCCGTCTCTTAATGAGTGGGATGTGGAGTGCAGAGATCTTGGTGAGGTATGCCTAAAATTTCTCCTAGACTGTCTCAACGGTATCAGCCACGGTGACCGTGCAACTCAGAACTGAAACTGTCTCGCATTGCGTTAGAGTCTGTCCGCCAAATATTTGGACATGCCTCAGCGGTAGCTTGATGACACTTTGTTAGAGCACATCGGAAGGATATGCAGACATGATCGCTGGCTCCTAGAGGACAGCCGTATGTAATATCACTTACGAAATCGTGTGACTGCGCAAAAATGATATTCAAGGTAGGCGGAATTTGGTTGCGCATATATCTAGTCGGGAAGTCCACCAACTGATGCAAAGGCAGTTGCAATGTTAGCTAGAGGAGATCCGAACCGAAAGTGCCCACCGCCGAACTGCAAGATAGATCAGCCCAGCAGACTTCAGGGAGATTGAAATGACCCAGTATTAGACACACATTGGCAGTCTGAGTACGAATAAATTCAATAACCTCCCTAAAGATACTTCCAGGACTTCGATATACCACTGCAACGGTAAACTGAGCAGATGAAGTGCACACAATAGTCGGCAGGGCTTCAACAGTTTGACCCGGCGATTGGATAACACAGGTCTTTAACACATCGAGTTTACAATTCACACCTACCTTGGCGGCCAACGGAGCGATCACATCTAAGCATTGCGTAGCCAGGCAAACATACTTCACCGTTTGTGATATCCGGGGACCACGTATCAGTGAAAGCAAGTATGTCGGGACGAGATTTGTCTACAAGTACACCTGCCTCGTGTACCTTGTTCCTTAGGCTACGCAGATTACTAAGCACTACTCGAAGGAACTCGGCACGACCAGCCTTGGGTCGCACGCTACCAGCAGGAGTTCTGGTAGGACAGAATTTAACTCCCAGTTGACCACCTGAAAACCCACGAGATGAAGGACTTGCTCACCAGCCGTCCGCTTGCTCTTGAGGCCTTTGATGGCTTCCTTTAAATTCAGTTGATCTGCCAGTGGGAGGTCCGGCTGAACAGTGACATTATTAGCCTTGAGTTTGAATGCAAAGCGCATTAACGGTTTGTGTTCATCCGGGGTTGAGAGGACTATATGAAGTAGTCGGGGTCGCAGATTTGGCGTATCGACAGGGACATTTTTCAAACTAATTAAGTTTCTGATAGTGACACTGGGGAAACCAGGTGGAAGCATCTTATTGACGCACACCTTGAACCACTGGAGGTCATCCAGCATGCGTTTCATGAAAGAGCTGCCGCAGATTCAGCAAAGTTACGAAAGATAACACTACTATCAGTAAAAGAGTCACCTCGACGAGGCGTGTTCACTCCACGAGTCTTCGACTCGACACCAGTTTCGACCAGTTTGGCAGGTGACAAGGCACATTTCTTCGCCAAGCGAGCTGGGGTAATTGAGGTTGAGGCATTGTGTTCTACCTCTAACTCTCTTACTGGTCTAGTCTTTTAACACTGCGGGTGTGGCCGAAGTCAACACGGGGCGTTTCTTCGCCAATGGAACTGGGGTGATTGGAGTTGGAGCTTTGTGCTCCACCTCTAATACCTTTATGGGTTCAGTACCCACAGGCTTTGAGTGGGCCTTACTGACTTTCTTAGCGCTCTTCTTCTTGCATTTATTGAGCACAGGAGATAGAAGATCGGTCTTGAATTGGAGGACGTCAAGTACAACGTCAGAGGCCTCTTTAGGGGCATTCTAGACCGCTTGGGCACAAGACACCGTTGCCATCAACTCAGTCGGATGTTCATCGACAGCAATTGAGGTTAGTTGTGGTTACCTCCAATGAGCCGACATCAATAGACTCCCATTTTCCTCATCAGTAACTCCAATTTGCGATCAAGAGATGTGCAGAAAGATCACATCTGCTGGTTACCCAGCCCGACATTGTTCGATGTCTCCTCAGTGATCTCAAGACGCGTAAATCGACGGCTACGGCATAGTAGACAATTAAACAGCATGCTACCGCTAGTCGAAAGCATTGCGTACTGATCAGAGATCAAATCGGTGCACTGCATGCCCCCAGACTCGTCCGACACGGTCTCTGAGCAACTCACGATGCCACATACAACATTAGATTCGCTGATCAACGCAGCCGAACACACATTAGCGCAGGAATTCAGTGAATCCGACAAGACGTTTTCAAAGAGCGTGAAACAAGTATCAAAACTTAAAACCGACAAGCGAGTACCTGCAGGGCAGTAGAAAGAAACAATTACGGGTTAAAACATGATACAAAACGGATTACAAAACATAAAATTACCATAAAAATAGCCAGAGACTGAAGCCAAAAATGATGGGCGACGTTTGGTATGCACCCGAGAACGGGTACAACGTAATCCGGGAAAAACGATAATCCAAAATTATTTGGATCAAGCGAAATCTGACAAGTCAAATTTTTTTGCACCGCACTTGTAAACAATGTTCCCAAACTGTCCTTTAAAAGTAAAATCTCAAAAGACAGCAAGCACAGAAATTCCGATTTACCGCCAAGGAGGAAACCGATCATTGGGAAAAATGCAGAGGACACCGCGATATTCCTAAAGATAACGCTGCTGTCCGTAAATGCATCACTAGGACGAGGAGTGTTTACGGCATGCGTCACTGCAGCAGTGGCCAGCGCAGCCCTTGAGTACAAGTTCAAGTTCAAGTGGGACTGGAACGATAGGATGAATCCCGTAAGTGTTCCTACTTGAGCGCGTCGTCGATCCAGGAGTTGATAGAGGTGCTCCGACTTTTTGAAAACACCCGAAAAACACCCTGGTCCACCAATTTAAAGCCCACGTTCCTTACATTAGTTGTCCCAGCCATGTCAGTTACGTGAAGTGAAGAAGAATCGAAGGTAAGAGAGTAGGGGAAATCAGTTAAAAGAAGAGAATACCAATGGCGAGGAAAAGTAAAGAAAACAGGATCAAAGTATGAAGATAGGAATTTGTCAAGAAAACGGAAAGGTTTCATGTTGTCACCCAAGAGCATCTAGTTGACGCTCAAACCCCTTAACCGTAGCTTCCTTGACAACATTTTCTGGAAGCAGGTTCCAGCGCTCGATGACACGACGCGATAAGCGTGTCTCCGCTCTAACTCGATCGGACCGCGATTTGTCCAGCTTCATACCATGCCCGCGAAGACCAGATAATCTAGCAGGACTAAATAGCTTGGACAAATCAAGACCAACCTTCCCAGTCAAAATACGGTAGGTTAAGATTAGGTCCCCTCTAATTCTTCGATAGTGCATTGACGGCATCCCCAAACTAAGTAGGCGTTCGGGGTACGTTTGTCCTCGGAATCACTTGACCAACCTAGTACCGACACGCAACACCCTTTCTAGTGCCATTTTGTCCCGGACAATGCATGGTGGACAGGCCTGGACGCAATATTCTAGGTAGGGTCGCACAAACGCTGAGAAAAGCTTCACAAACACATCAGCGGTTAGGGTCCCAAAAGAACGACGGATAAACCACAACATCCGGAACCCCTTACTAGCCGCCTTCTTCCAGTTGTCTCCAGAGTGTAATGTGGAACAGTGGACGACACCTAGATCGACCTGATGAGTCACGTGATGAAATACAGTCCCATCGAGCACATAACTTGCGGAAGAATCAGACGCTATGATACGCAGCACTGAACACTTTGACCGGTTTATGGGCAGCAACCACAAGACAGACCATTCCCAGAGTCAATATCGTCCTTAGTAGGAGCAGCAAGTGCACATAATAATGATTGAGGCAATGCAGTGTAGGAGATTGTTGCCTCCATTAACAAGGACGGAGCATCGACAGAGCCCACCGCTACATTTTGTAGCTTGGGTTTGGTTGTACTGATCGATTCTTTATCTAAAGCTACTTTACCTTCGCAGATACACTAGCTTGTAAAACTTCATTCTCACAGCTGAGTTCCATATACAGTATGTTACCGATGAAAAAATTTTGGTCACACAGAACACATATTGGTAGCATAGCCCCACTCATACGTTTTTTCAGCATTCGAATCACGACGTACGTCGTAACCAACCAACGAACCAGAATAATTGCCCACTATGACAGGCCAGTCCATAGTATTGACAGAGGAAGGCGAAGGTAAATCTGGAAAGCGCTTTTGGTACGAAATCTGGAGCGTACGACTGAGGGATAAATAGTATACCAGCAGTTGAGTTGTTTATTAAATTTATAAATAAATCTTATTTTACAGCTTGTGCCTTTATTTACAAATTATACATATCTATTATAAAACATAAGATACATCAATGCGACTTTCTAACAGCACTAAAATTTAAAAAAAATTTGAGCCCCAATGTAACAGTACACATGTTAAATCTTAAGAAAAGCTTTTCAAATTGTGAAAATTTTAATCTATTACGTTTGTACCATATAAGTTGCAACGGAATGAAGCGCTTGGACGCACTCTAATTAGTGTGTAACAAAGACCCTACTCACTACTCTGAGGTTAACGCTCCCACCAGTGTTTAGTTATGTTTCTAAACGAATTCCTGACCTAAGCGTGGATGAATGGAGCACAAACTAACAACGAATTGGAAGTGCCAAATGCCGTAACATGGTTAGCATAAAAATGATTTGACTAAAATATGAATCAGGATGGAGGTTTGCTAATATTGTCCAAGTCATAGTAACTAGAACTTTTGGATATTAGGCCGATAGATTGGGTATTGGACAATTCTTCTATCGCCCGATTCGACAAATTAACTCCAAAATGCAGCATGAAATGCTAAAATCAGTGTAAGCAGCTCGGCTAACCCACAAGAATTTAAAAGATGTGCGCAAATCTCGGTGTATTGCAACCTTTGGTTTGATATTACTTTGACAGGCGTTGTTTGGTCTAAAGTAGTTAGCCGAGCAGTAACCAGTTGCACGGTCAGCCCTGCGGCCGGGGTCGGAAGCCTGTGTGTGCCAACTTTTGCACTCGCTCCGGCAATTTAATTAGTAAGTGTAATACGCTTCGGATAAATTGCGATTTTATTTGCGCATGGAAGACAACCAAGTTCAAGTTCAGTGGAATACGAAACATTAGAAAAAGCCAGCCAATGCTCCACCCACAAAAACGTTGCTTGTCCAATAAACAATTCGGTGCACTGAGGTGCCACAATAGAGCGCAATCCTAAATTTCATTCTCATAGTCAACCAAACACTGAAAGGTGTTTGTGTTGGGCGAAGCCTGGGATATTAGTCAATAAGCAATGACACGTAAGACGTGTCAAATACGACAGTATAGAAGTCTGAGGCGTCTGAACCCAACGTATATTGTGCAGGATACAAGAATAGGAAGCGAATCAGACAGAGCGAGAAACGTGCAGCGAAGTACTCACAAAACGGTTTGTGTCCACGGATAAGCAGTCAGTAAAACAATTGGACGTTTGGAAGGTTAAAACAACCATAAAATCCGATGTTGTAAAATACTGAAAGAGCGTGTTTTCCGGTACACTGAAAAGGCCTCCCCCTGGAAGGCTGAAGGATGGAAGCCTTCGATGGAGCTGTTAGTGGGGGGAACGGAGGGTGAGGGTGGATGCGAATGTTTGCAGGGGCTTGAGAAGGGCTTCCAAAGTGACGTGTGTAGCAGAGTTCGCTGGGTCCAGGCTGTTGTTAGTCATTATTTATGACGATCGTGTGGACCAGAGTGCATCATCGGTGGGCCGTCGGGGCAGGCTGGTCGGACTGCAAAAATCTGGCCAGTCCAGGAAAAGGCCGACAGGACCTTCCCCTTGCTGCAGACCCGACGGTGCGCTGAGGAGGTGTCACTCCCCCCACCGCACTTTAGTCCATGGTCCTCGTCCCACAAAGAAAATGCGGACGTCCTCGTCGGCAATGCCTAGGCGATATTTGGGGACCAATCCGTTCGGGGTGTCTGCGGTCGAGGGTGACTGTCTGTTCCTTGGGTGAGGATATGGACCTTGGGACGGCTGGCGAGGCACTTGGGGGGTTGCATTGAGCCGGTTGGCGAGTCACTCGAGGGTTGCCTGGGCAGTTCCCGCGGTTTAGATTCTGGAAGACCGAACTCAGTGGGGTGGGCAAGGGTCAAAGAATTGGCTTGACGCCGGAGGGGGAACATGGCATGTATGATAAAAGCAAATACGCTTTTTAAGTTTTCAAAATGTTTTGGTTTTTTTGTCGATTTTGCAAAACGTTTGTGGATGAGACGCAGGATAACCACTAAAGACAAAAAATGCGTGTTAATGGAAATAGCAAACATTTGCAAAATCTGAAAAACAGACCAGACGCTCAACCTGTTTACCGCGTCGGTCGGTTGCTTGGGGTTGCGGCGGGATAGATTGCGGGTCAAGGGGTACGGAGGGTTCCGGGTTATCCAGTGCTCGGAAAGTCACCACAGGTGCGGGTGCTTGTGCGAGAGCATCAGGATGGGCTGCAAGTGGCTCGTCAAAGCAAGCCACATTGAGGCGGTCGATGGACACCGTTGTTCGGTGACCATTCTGGTCTAAAGTGAAATGTTTCGGAGTCCGTTGCAGAACTCTGAAAGGGCCAGTGTAGGGAGCCTGGAGAGGGCGCCTCACTGCGTCAGTGCGGAGGAAGGCGTGGGTACAGATAGAGAGACCGCTGTACGTGCTCATCTCTAGTCTGTTCATAAGGCGGGGTCGGGCGTAGTGAACGCTTGCGTTGAGCCAGGGAGGACGCAAAGTTAGGCGGAGGCATACCCGACGATGCGGGAGGCCAAACGGATTCTCCTGGCAACTTTAGCGTTGCACCGTTAACCAGCTCTGTCCGTGCACATTGCAAGTCAGCTCCGGTGCTAATGCGAATGCCTAAGGGTATAAGCCAAATGTTTTCGCTCCAGTTAGGGTCGGAGGAGGCGCAGAGATTGGCTTTAAGCTGTCTATGGAAGCGTTCAACTAACCCCGTGGCTGCTGGGTGATACGCTGTGGTATGAATGCGGCGACAGCCTAAGAAGTTGCAGAACGTATCGAATTGTGAAGATACGAAAGGCGTTCCTCGGTCAGTTGTAATGGTGGATGGGCATCTGTAGTGCGAGACCCATTGGATAAAAGAAGGCCAGGATATCATTCTCAGATGTGCAGTCTGTTACGGGAATGGCTTCTGGCCATCTGGAGATGCAGTCGACACATGTAAGAATGTATACGAATCCGCGTGACGGAGGCAAGGGACCTACCAGTTCTAAGTGTATATGCGAGAACCGAGAGTCTGGGGCAGGAAATGTACCAAAAGGACTGCCGGTGTGACGATGTACGTTGGAGCGCAGGCATTGAAGGCAGGCGCGAGCCCAGGTACGAACCTCTTTGTTTACGCGTGGCCAAAAGAAACACGCTGTGACCAGTTTCAAAGATGCACGGATACCAGGATGTGATAGTGAGTGCAGTGCGTCATAGACTGCGTCTGAAGAAGACGAGCACGAGAGGTTTAGGACAACCTGTGTAAATGTCTCAGAGAATGGTTCCCTCCGTGGTTTGGAGAGGAACAGGTTGCACATGCAGCGAAGTGGACTGCAGAGTGCGCTGTATGTCTTCGTTTTGAGCCTGAGCCGATGCCATGGCGGCAAAGTCGACGGTAGGCAGAGACTGGAGAGTGAGGTTGACGCGTGAGAGAGCGTCGGCGACGGGATTGTCGACACCTGAGACATGATGTATGTCAGCCGTGAACTGCGTGACAAAGTCTAAGTGTCTTGTTTCCCGTGGTGAATATTTGTCGCAAGCAGAGTTGAAGATGAAGATAAGGGGTTTGTGGTCAGTGTAGACCGTGGAAGCGCAGTCATCGAGTGTGTGACTGAAGTGACGAATGGCCAGGTAAATGGCGAGCAGTTCTCTGCCAACCGTGCTGCAGCGGGATTCCGCTGGCTGCAGGCGTTTGGAGAAGAACCCGAGGGGTAGCCATTGCCCACCAACGTGTTGTTGGAGGACGACTCCTACCGCAACGTCTGAAGCATCAGTCGTAAAGGAAGAGGTGTAGTCGATTCGGAATGAGCGTGGAAGTCTAGGTTGTGGATAGCATCCTTGGGATCGGTGAAGGCTGCCTTTGCATTGTCAGGGAAAGCGAACTTACGTTCATTTCCTATGAGTAGGTCAGTCAGTGGATGCAGGAGCTTGGCGCTTCACGAAATAAAGCGTTGCTAGTAGTTGACCAAACCACAAAATCGACGGAGGTGCTTGAACGAAGTCGGAGCTGGAAAGTCCTTGATTGCCTGGTTCTTACCAGGAAGTACTTTGATACCAGATAATGAAACGAGGGGACCTAGGAATTCTACCTTTGAGTTGCCGAGTTCGCACTCAGTCGGTTTGACTGTGACACCATGTTGGGTCAAGCGCTGTAGCATAGTTCGATGGTCGGCGATGTGCTCTTGTTCCGACGAACTGGATACTAAAATATCATCGAGGTAGGAGTAGGCGAAGTCTAGGCCACGAGTGACATCGTGGATGAAGCTTTGGAAGGTTTGTTCGGCGTTGCACATTCTAAATGGCATCCTTAAAATTTCAAACAAACCGAAAGGTTGGATGACGGCTGTTTTAGGAATGTCATTGTCTTCCACAGGTATCTGGTGAGAGGTGCAAACCAGATCGATATTGCTGAAGATCGTCTTACCTGTGAGGCATGCGGTAAGGTCATGCATGTGTGGCATGGGATACCTATCGGGGACGGTTAGGCGATTGAGTTCGCGGTAATCACCGCAAGGGCGCCATTCACCAGGTTTCTTGGGTACTATCTGCAGCGGCAAGGACCCAGGGCTGTCGTAAAGGCGGATTATTCCAAGTTCAGGCATGTGATCAAATTCCGCCGTAGCTACCTTTAGTTTCTCGGGCGATAGTCGGTGTGGACGGCATGACACAGGTGGGCTGTTCATCCGTATGTGGTGCGCGACTTGAGCTGCCACGGGCAATGCTGCGTTCATTGGCTGAAGGAGCTTGGGATACCGCGAAAATAGATTAGCGTAGTCTGGCGAGGTCTGGGGAAATGCACAGACCGGGGATATAGATGTGACATCGGCGGTGGTGCCACGTACACTGAGTTTTGTTTCAGTGTCGACTATCATCTGGCGTTTCGCATTGACCAAGAGATCGAAATGCCTGAGAAAGTCAACGCCGATGATGGCAAAGGGGACTGCAGCGACGGTGAACACCCAGCTGGTAATCGATTAATG